GGCGGGATTTGAACCCGCGGCCAGAGTCTCAAAACTCCAGACCGTCGCGTTAGCCACTGGACGTGGCTAACGCGACGGTCTGGAGTTTTGAGACTCTAACCGCGGGTTCAAATCCCTCCCGTGGTATGGTTTGTTTGCAATCGTGTCATTACGATTTCGTGAGTCATCTGAACATAAGCTAACACTCAGACTGACCAGTGGGGTCCCTCGAGAATAAGTGGGGTCCTTCAAGGAGCAGCTGGGTCCCTCAAGAATCAGTGGGGGCCCTCAATAATCAGAGGGGTCCCTCAAGGATCAGTGGGGCCATTCAAGGAGCAGTGGGGTCTTTAAAAAGTATTAGGGTCATTCAAGAAGCAGTAGGGGCCCCTCAAGGATGAGTGGGGTCCCTCGTGGAGCAGTGGAGTCCCTCACCCCCCCCCCTCTCACTCATACACACACCTAGTAGCGACCAGTGAAGAGGAGGGGCTAGGAGCTATGAATCGACCCCTGCAACCACAATTAAGAGTGCAATTAGGTGAGTACAACACAACACACCCCCACACGTCAACACCCACACACAAACAGCTGGTTTAAGACTTCCAGAATCAATACACACCTCGACACACCCACACTCAACACTCCCCACACAGGCGAGAAAGATGATAATATACACGTGGAAAATCTTAAGAGGGACTACTTCCAAATCTGCACACTGAAATTACTCCCTGCGAAAGCAAGACTCGGCAGGCGGTGCAACATCCCCCACGGGTACGCTAAGAAACAACACAACAAGTGTCAGGGGCGCATGACTGCTCAACTGTCTCCCAGCATACATAACGGATATTACCAATAAACCGCTGGCTGTCTTCAAGAGGGAGCTGGAGATGGCACCTAAAGTCGGTTCCCGACTAACCGGGTTGTGGTTCGTACATCGGTTTGAGTGCAGCCAGCACGCAAACCTACGTACGGACCACAGCCCTGATCAGGCCCTGATCCACCGCGAGGCATGGTCATGGACCGGGCCGCGGGAGCGTTGACCCTCGAAATACCTCCCAGGTATATACACCCACACACCTTAACTCATACCAAGACATCTCAAACATCTCAAAACACACCCACGCACTCGTACACCCTCCCCAACCTCAAGAGCTGGTTAAAGTACACCCACGCACCTCACGAATCAATATTCACCCCAACACCACACACTCACGCACAACACAAACAGCTGGTTAATCACACACCCACCAACCTCAACACAAACAGCTCAGGTAGCTGCAACACCCACGCACTTCAATACACACCCCGTATAAAATACTGAGAGGAACTGACAAGGTGGACAGGGATAGAATGTTTCAGAGATGTGACACAGCAACAAGGGGTCACAGTTAGAAGTTGAAAACTCCGATGAGTCACAGAGATGTTAGGAAGTACTTCTTCAGTCATAGTTGTCAGGAAGTGGAACAAACTGAAGAGTGATGTAGTGGAGGCAGGATCAATACATAGCTTTAAGAGGTATGATAAAGCTCATGAAGCAAGGAGAGTAGCGACCAATGAAAAGGCGGGGCCAGGAGCTATGACTTTATCCCTGCAACTACAATTAGGTGAGTACACCCACGCACCTCAACACACAAACAGGCTAGCTTCAACACACCCACGCACCTTAATACACAAACTAGCTAGCTTAAATATACACTCATGACTCAAAATCACTTTTGAATGGCAACACTCAAGCTGTATCTTTCTCGCTTAAGATCTGATCAAGCAACACTAAACTGAACCTTTCAAAACTTGAATTGTCAATGGACGAGTCTCGTCAAAACCTCCAGAGATAAACCCATATTTTTAGAGGAGGAGACCGGTAAGCCAGCGGAAGACCTCGGTCAGATTACCAAAAACTGCAGCTGTGGGCCATCATATGACTAAAACCCTCGTCAAGAAACACTTGTCCTGTTTCCTGGCAAACTTTACCTCCAGAGACCTAAAACCACACAGAAAGACCAGAGACTAAAAATGACCTCTGACACGGACCGATAGACCAAAATAATCCTGAAGTCGATCTAAAACCAAATACTACCTTCAGACTTGAGACAAGAAGGCAAAAAAAAAAAAAATTACTTGGAGACTGACCAGATATTAAAAGTTACCCCAGAGACTGAGACCAGAAATGACCCGTTCCGTTGTGCAGACTTACACGTCATGTATATATGACACTGTAACTGGCTGTAACATCTGTTGTACCGGCTGCTTCAAGGTCAGTCCAACCAACACAGCAAATCAACACATTACTACTAGCCAAATACTGTACATAGAAGCACACGTTATTAAAAAAAAATCACTTTGAATCTCAGACAAAATTATTATTACCAGCGAGTGGAAGTTAAAAAATAGGGGACAATACACAAATAACCCGCACCTAGAAGAAAGAAACTTAAGACGACGTTTCTGTCCTACTTAACCATTAACTAGTTACTAATATTTTTATTCTTCAACCGAAGGGAAGCACCAGTTCCTCAGATCATGA